GTGGAAGCTGCAGAGTGATCAATGCTATAGCTTTAAGTGTAGTTAAGGTGAGGAACAAAATATAGTCTGACACAAACTGGTGATGAACTCAGCAGGAAGACACGAGTGTGAGAAAGGGAAGAGCGAGTCATGTTTGTAAGACTCAGATTAGAATTCTGCACTTCCTCATGAATCATCAAATTCCTGTTTTGATCCGATTTAGCAGCGAGGGGCTGTTTATGGGCTTCTTGGGACAACAGATTGAGTTTGCAGAGCATGAGAGCGGGGACAGACGAGCGCTCCACGCTTCACTTCAGGGATTTCCTCGTTATTATGATTATCAGAGGGAAAGGATTTAAAAATGGGACATAATGTGCACGTTCTGTGTGTGCGGGCATACACAACACACTTCAAGACATTACATCACATGGACACTTTCCCACACTTCTTGTACACATCTGTTGTGAGTAAATCCTTTGAAATTATGTTTTCACGATCATTGTATTTTTTAATACAATCATCTTATTTTGTCTGCAGTTTCTACTTATAATCAGCCTCTTTCTTACTTATTTCTATCAATCAAATCAAGATATCAAAAGACATCATCTTGGATCTTGATGCCGCTTTTTTTCTGACATCTTATAGACCAAAGGATTAATCTACAGAACAGGCAGATTAATTGAAAATGAAAATAATCGTTAGTTGCAGCCCTACTTCAATCATGATTTTCCTAGCTGGAAAATATATAATGAATGGGATTTAAGCCTTATCTGTTCCCTAATGATTTGTGCGCTGCTACCAAGGAGGTTAATGTGTTCTGTGCAGTTATACCTGCAAGAACACCAGCTGTTCTGTTTGCATGCTCCTTAGACTGAGACTATAAGAAATCCTTTATTCCCTCGGCTGTCATTGGACATTCTGCCACCAACTCCATCACCTAGTCTTAATGTAAAGTAAATATTATTTTTTTAATACAACGAGTGGACCCAAGCCAGTGGAAGAACTAACCACTTTTATTAAGACTGTCACTATCAAGCAATTTTGCTGTATGAATTGTATGTTGCACTGTGTATGGTGAGTGCTACTTTCTCTTATTTACCAGTGCCAAAGACACATTTCCATTATATGTAAATGTAATGGGGAATAAAGTAGTCTGAATTATTATGGTAAATACTCAACACTAAGTGATTTTGCAGGCTAGGCTGTAGTCTTGAATGTACTACAAATATTGGCTGCCTGTGTTGTGTTCAGGGCGATAAGGACTTCACCCCCGCAGCCGCTCAGGTGGCTCATCAGAAGCCCCAGCCGTGCGTCTCCAAGCTGCCCGCCTCGCAGCACATCAACCAGCCCATCCACCAGCCCCGCAAGTGAGCTGGCACCACGACGGCTGTGCTAACTCTACCCACCGGCCTCCCCTGATGGAACACATACCATGAAGATGTTTCCCCACCATGCACAGATCTCCTCTCAGTAACTACAGAAGTTGTTTGTATTACATGTAAGAGGAATTTATGCCAATACAGCCATTGTAGAAGTTCCCCCCCCCCCCCGCTGCTCTGTTTAGTTTGTGTCCTCTCCTTAAGAGGGATGGTTGTCTTAAGGTGGTATACATGGTGGATGGGACTTCTACAATGGCTTTAGTTCAAGGATTAAACATAAATGAAGAAATCTGATTCTGTGGGGGGACTCTCACTGCAGCGATGTGCCAACTGATACCGCACCTACCAGCCAATCACAGCAAGCTATCAACCAGGCCTACTAACCAATCAATCACCTGCAAGTGATGAGCCTACGCTCCCGCCTTATACCTAAAATCTCCACAGGCCAAAAGAACCAATCCACAAATCACAACCAGTATTATGTTATTAACACAAACCAAAAAGAGCAGAACTTCTATATTCCAATACTCAGTGTGTTGTCATAATGTACGGCTACTGCATAGACCAGAGAGGTCAAATAGATAATTATGACAACTATAAGAAATTATTAGCACAGACACTGAGGTTAGCTGCACTAAGTCCATTTGACCATTTCAATAACTCTTATCTTTAGATAAAGGTAATCTCCCTGCAAAAACATTCCATAGAAATATATATATATATCAGAAATCTATATCGGTCTTACAAAATATTGATACACGCAGGCACACACCACCCTTTTCCTTAAGCACCCATCCCCTTACACTCAAGTGTCATTTGTTGCAACACTAATGTTCAGGTTTCGATGAAAGAGAGAAATTAATAGATGTCTTGCCAAGAAGGAATTGATTTCCTATGTTGATTTAATTCAGTTTAAAAGAGTTGTATTTTTTGTTCTCTTGTTATTATTCTTGAGTAAATTGTTCAAATTGTACAAATCTATGAGTGGAATTAGGTATTAGGTGTGGTTTAAATGGAAAATAAAGATATGGACTATCTTAACAAAAAACCTTTCCCAGCTTGTCTGTATTTGAATGAGATGAGGGATGACTGGACAAAAAGGTGGACATTTTGTCATGAGAAAAAAAATATCGTAAGCCCTGTACTAACCAAGGAGAAAATTACAATTCCAACATTTTCAAGTTGAATGCAGTCCCACTTGATGGATGGTGTCCTGGGTATTTGCACATACCACGGTGAATTAGCAGTCTGCACTGAGGGATTTAGGCTCAGGTGGTGTTTTGAAATGAAACAGAAGCATCTCTCCAAGAGCTGTCTGCTGTTTTCCCTTCCGCTCACACACACACACAGCGTGCACCAGGTGTTAGTGCATGTAATCCATTTTTACACAAGCATCTGCAACCAGGTGTTCTGTCAGTTCATGTTAGCCCAATAAACCAGCCAGCGAGGCTTAGTTGGTATGAGCCTCTGAAGCACCCTATTACAGCAGGTACAATCTCCTTGACTGCATGGTTTTATATAGTTCTCTCGATGTGGCAGACCTCTCATCCCCTGCCATGCTGCATTAGACTGACTGGGAGAACAGCATGAGAGCGAGCCAGGGCTAAAAATGTAATCTAGTGCCGTGCTCCGGAGTACTTACTTGTATCAGTATAATTTGACTAAGATAAATTGGGAAACCTATTATTTGGCAGACCAATGGATTGAAAAGGAGACAATACTATTGCAGCTAGTAAACACAGATACAATATTAAGCACATAACGCCTATTCAATTTGAAATAATAGGTATGTAGGTTTACTGTTTCTGGAGTTACTTTGTGGTCTAACAGAACAACAAATTGCCCATGAGCAGGGAAGTGCTCTCTATGTGGGTTTATTTAGGAAGGAAAAATGTACACTGAAAAAAACAGTCAAGGTTACAGCGCCAAGTCCTAATTTAGAGCCACTTTATTAGCGGTGAGTACACACCACCAGCTGGTAGCCATGTGGTCCTCAGGAACATAAAATCTGGCTCCAGCTTGTTGAGACCGGTCATTTCTGTGACACTGCCGGCTGAAATCCTTCCAGAGATGCTGTGGTTTACTCAGTCAGGCAACAGTGGTATTCAGTCATTTCTATTGGGACCTTTTTTGGATGGGCTCATGGTCATTTATTGATAAGGCATCGGGGCAAAAATAAGAAATTCACGGTGACATTTTGACTCCAGTTTCGTTAAGTCAAACAACCTTTTTTTCTTACGAACTTCCTTTTTTTCTCCTGTACCTAGGGGAGGTATTCCACAAACAGCACTCACGGGATTTTATAAAACTAACCTATTTTCTAAAGTGTTACTTCTGAATATGTCTAATAGAAAGTATAATTTAATGCAAAAGTTTTGGTAAGATTATAATTTTTCGTACTTTTTCTCAGCTCCACCACTTGCAGTTAATTTTCAGTTCTCACATTGTAGATAATCCTGATGCTGATTTAATTGAGACATTTTCATTTATTCATACTTTTCAGATTTTCAGAAATGGAATTCATTAAGAAGGACCTACTTTATCCTTGATTGCATCACGGTATCATTTCACAGAATACTAAAAAAGAGATGAAAATGATATATAGCTCTCATACCTTCTGCACTCAGATTACTTTGAGTTCTTCCTAAACCTGGAAATATATGGAGACAGTCATTGTGGCCATAAGGATTACATTTGCATGAATTGTTTATGACTAAAGTCTCGTATGTAGTTTACTATTATTCAGTTATCCCAAGAGAAATGTAATAATTAATTCAATTTAAGCATGCTTTTGTTTCTACTTCCCTTGCTCAACATTGCTCCTGGTTTATTTCCTGACACTTGATGGCAATGCCACAATCTGAGGATATACTGTCATTTAAATGCAGATGTCCTTAAAGGTGTTACACTAACCAACCAGCAGAGGGCCTCAGTTCAGGATTCCCCCTAAATTCAGAGACCGAAGCACTCAATCAGTGCTGATCTAGATTCAGGTCATACTGCCTAAATCCCAGCCAATTGGATCAGATGATGCCATTATATCTGTCAGTGTATCCTCAGTGTCACATCAGTTGATAGTGTTTATTGAGCCATATCCTAATTTCTATGAGGGATGTTGGTCGGGATGTGGAAGAAGAAGGCGGGAGGTGCATCGCTGACCAATCCTTTCGCGCTTCATAATCTCAGTTTACAATCTGAGCCAACAGCTGTGAGCCAAAGCCATGACCTAAATATTATCAGATGCATTTAGGGCTAATAGGTTGTGTCCTATCACTTATACACAACCCTCTATAATCTGAACGCTGTGTAAGTATATCTTATCTATTCTTATAAGTATATAAGAATAGTATATTCTTATCTTCAGTGAATAAGAATAGATAAAACAAACAAATGATTACCAGAAATCAATGACGTCATAAATATGAAATGTGATATATCTTGCCATCAATAAGTCATTTATAAGTTATAGTAGGTATAAAAAACAAATGCCACAGTATAGTGACTGGATGTATATTACTCCATTAAAATATGATAAAAAGTCAAATTATAACACAACAGAAAATGTCATTAAGTAATAATATAATGTTAAAAAATGCTCTATACTTACTCACAAAAAAACAGCATTGAAAATAGATGTCGTTTTTATTCATGGTCAGGAAACTTAGCCTCCCTCTGAACAAACTGCACACTGTAGACATTGTCGGCTGTGATACTGCATTGCCAGCAAAAAGCCTTTTCCCTATAAAACATTTCCTTATGTTGATGTTAAATATGTTAATCCTGCTACACTCAGAGTTTGAGTGAACAACTCGCTGCAGTTTGCTCCTCTTTTGTCGTGTTCAAATGACTTCCTCTGGGGAGTATCTAAGCAGATTGCCATTCAGAACTCAATGAAGTTTATTTGAAGAAGTGATTTGGCTGCACACTGCCCTTGTAACCCCTTAGCAACTCATCACCATGTATATTAGACACACACTCTTGGATGGCACTTAAGCTGCAATCGCCATGAGAAGTTAGGACCGTGAAATTGTGTTCTAAAAAATTCCGACAATGTAATATCATTACTCTCCCCGTGGCTCTGGCTGTTTGAAACTCACAGCTATTTTTCGCCCCATTATTTTTGACTTTTTAATTCTTAAAACAGAGCTGACCTCATGCTCCGTAATTATATTTTTTTTATCAGAAGGGTCCATTTATTAGGGATTATCACTTCATTTCTACTTGGACTGTCACATTGGCCAAAGATCACCCTTCTCTCAATGTTAAACAAATCCCCCTAATGCTGAGGTTGCAAATTCAATCAAGTAAAACATCTCCTTGTTTTCTTATTATCTACTCAACACAACATGGCTGAGGCATCAATATTTGTCTCAATCACATCCACAGTTAGCAGTTTATTCCGTTACCATCCTCCGTACCCTGTGTAAACCAGTGTCCATCTTAGAGTCACATTCACCCTGATGAATGTGGTATATAATGTAAACACGTAGAAAAACGTTCACTCCTTCCCACTTGGTAAGATGTGAGTGTGACATCACAATAGTGCTCCACATTTCAGTCGTGAATCTTAAGACTAAAAAACATTTTCATATATCTGTATGTGAAAAAATCTATTTTGATTACAAAATAAAAAAAGTTTTTCATTGAAAAGCGTTAAAATCTCTAATATAAAATATATTTACGTAATACATTCATGGGTTTTCATTATAAAGCATAACAAAAAGCATCTACAAATATTGCTGCCAATTGCCATTCAAATTTAAATAAGCTTGTGTTTATCTTTTCAGTCAATATGACGCACCCATTAGTACTCTTAATATTTAAGACATTATCCCAGAACATAATAAATCTCTTCCAATGTTTCGATATAAAGATGAACACATTCTGAAAGAAGTTTCTACTACAGTGTAACACAGTACAAAAACACTGCATCAAGCGCTCAGAGTGTATCAAAACATAGACCAAAGCAATAAATATGAAAAATAAGTTAACCAAAAGCATTTCAAGTATCAAATCCCCTGGGTATCACTGTTTGACATCATAAAGGACACTGAGCATTGTGCATGTCTAAAGCTGCTAGCTGTGAGGCCAAACTGACAGTCAGTCTTCTGTCTCATGTTAGGAACACTGCTGGCAATTCATATATTCTAGAAAACAAACATTAAAGCCAAAACACTTGCAAGTCAGGCTAGACTTTGTCTGATTTGGGCGTAGTGTAAATGTCTTCTTCCAGAGTAAATATATTATTTCCTTTTCCCAGCATCCAGGTGTCTCTTGGTCACCGCCTCCAGCCGCCTCCTCTCCGCCTCCTCGGCTCTCTTCCTTTCCTCTTTCAGCTCCTTGTACCGCCACTTTGGTATTTGCAGCAGGTGCCCCCCTCCATCTTTGGCGCTGCTCTTCCTCCGGATCTTTTCTGGTTCATAAGTAGGCGTGGGGGCCTTGGTGACCCTCACTTTGGGGACTCTGAACCCCGGCCTGACGCTGCTCCTCCTCAGCACCATGTGCAGCGGCAGCAGGCTGGTCCTCCGCAGCTCCAGAGCCTCGTTGTTCTCCCCCAGCGTCAGGCTGGGGCTCCGGTGCCGAGGCATCAGGCTCTGGGCCTGGAGGCTGGCCCGGCGGTCCACAGAGTGTTTGGCCACCAGAGTGACCCTGGAGTTCTGGAAGAGTTTGAGGTGGCTCTCCACCCGGTCGGGGTTGATGGAGCGGAGATCCTTGGCGCGCTGCCGGCGGATGATCTCCGGAACTGAGTAGCGCCGTTTGCCCACAGCGGGGGGGCTGTCAGGACACACCTGAAACAAAAACAGTTTTTGTTATTAAATCAGTATTAGTAGCACAGCATTAGTGATTATAGTGATATTTGTTTTATTTTATATACTAAAAGCCTACTAGTCTCCCTTTTGTTTGCAGTATAGCAGTTCTGGAAACCTTCCATCAGATAAGGCTGCCGTGAATTATTTATATCCTCTAATTATTTTGAGCAAATCCCGTGAAAAAGCAGAACATTTGCTGATAGAATAAATGATAAACCAGCACCAGATTTATACTTTAATAGCACCATTACCATAATATTATCATTAGTTCATTTGATTAGATTTAATTCTGTTTTTGTGAATGTTTCTCCTTCAGGTCTCTGCAAATCGATTCAATTAAATAGCAGTGATGAAAGAACGACGAAATAAATGGAAGAATAGTGCACACTGTTTCAAAATCACATTATTTTTGCATAAACTTTGTATTATGTTGTACTAAATGTCAGCCTTGAGAAAGGGGATCCTTTCAAATATATAAATAAATACTTTTTGGTCAAGTTTCAAGTCTGTTTAAGGTGAGATAAGAAAACAAGCCCTGATATCTCCACCATGCTGAGTATGTACAATCACCACGAGGGAAGGCACAGAGGTGAGCAACTTTAACGACTTCCTTATCACAAAAAGTGGTTAAGGCTTCCCCGTATCTTAGCTTACATTTGCAAAAAGCATGTTGGTGTGAGGGAGTAACTGCGGCACAGTGTGATGTGTTCTTGGATCTGGTGGTGGGCTACTGTTTAAAGCTGATGAATGAATAGGTGTATAAAGACTGAGAGCTTTACTACTCACGGTGTGGCATGCCACAGCAATAAAAGGGCTCCTCATGGCAGTGGTGATAGAAACCATGTGGTCGATGACTCCTTCCTCCTCAGGCTCGGTGACGTTGGCAAAGTGGAAGACGCTCCGCACCGTGTCCGACAGGCGCTTCAGACAGCCGCGTGGCTCCTGGGACCTGGACACCAGCGAGGCCAGAGGGGACCACTCCAGACTAGAAGAGCAAATGTAGAATAAATCCACTGAGCAGAGGCACTGCCATCGTAAAGTAACTCATAGTCTGGCTACTTTTCTGATGATGTATGATATGTAATGTTCTGTACCTTGGTCAGGTATTTTGATGCTGCCCTGAGCCTTCTTATATCTTACACATACAAAAATGTTTTTGACCTTGTGTTGCCTGTCTAAAATGATCACTTCCTGCAGCAAAAAGTGGAAAGTGCAGTGAATGTAAACATGTCAAATAGGGCTGTTTTTTTCTTCTATGCTATTATCAAGGCCCAAGCGATTCAGGACAGCTATAGGAAAAACTTTAACTTTGTTCATTGTCCGTTTTCTTTTCTTTTTTAACAATTTCATTACAATTGTATGTGGGCCATTGGGGCAGAGAGACAAGTTCAGAACAGAAACAACTTGAACAACTCATGTTACCTGTAGTTCTCACAGTACTGGCGCGGGCAGGGCCGCTCCATCAGGCGCGTTATCACCCAGGCGGTTTCATAGCGACCCGTAAAGAAGGCCCACTCCCTGGCATTGAAGTGGCGACCGAAGTCTCTAGCATTCAGGGCAGATCCTGGTGGACACAAAACAAACTGTTACTGTCATATGTGGGAGAAAAGATAAGAAAGTAGGGATAGGAAGAGTTCTCAAAAAGGAAGAGAGTGCTTAGTGTGCTCAGGACTCACCACTACCACAGGGCTATGAGATGTGTTTAAGTGCCAGAAATTGCATAATAATCAATAGCAGTCCTGGCCTGATAGCAGTAAATCTTGACTAGAACTCCCTGTCTTGATGATTTAGTATCATATCTGTCTGTTAGTTTCATAGTTATTGCTAAAAAGAGAATAATCACCCAATAACTAACATTTGGATCAATGCCAAAGCTAATTCAAATTGTCCATCTGTGTACCCATTCCAGTGAAAATCTGCTCGTATTTTCCTGAGCTGCCCTTATGACAAAGTAATGGCAAAAATAAACAACATATTTTGTGGTTGTAATCAGTGGAAACTGCCCGCAAAAATCAAGGTCATTTGTCAAATCCAGACATAACACTGACATATGTGTCATTTGTGTGTGATTGCTGGAGAGTTTTTCTACATTAGGTGTAATCCGACACATTTGACTGACCTGCCATCATGAGCGAGCGCACACACTCCAGCCTGCCCTGCATGGCAGCTTTCATCAGGGCCGTGAAGCCGTGGCAGTTCCTCTTCTCGATGTCCAAGCCAGAGAAGTAGTTCAGCAGATAGTTGGTGATGGTTATGTGGCCTTAAAGAACAGAGGGGCAGAAGGTAGTTACTGGAGGTCACAACGTACTCTGTCTTCATAATGTTGGCTCGAATAAAAGCTGCTAAAGTTTATTTCACACTAGTCCATCATGTATTGGAGAGGTGTGATCCACATCCCTATGCCTGTTCCTTATTCGCTTTCACACAAGACACTCATAACTTCTGTTCAAAAAGTGAGATCCGACTCTTTTATGGTTGTCTGTGTCAGTATTAGTACCGATCTGCCTGTGTATGTGTGCATGTTTTCAAGTGATTTCATTGCCGCCTGTGTTTGTATGTTTTTAACAAGCTGTGTGTGTGTGTGTGTGTGTGCACGTGTGTGTGTGCGTGTGCGTGTACGTGTGTGTGTGTGTGCGTGCGTGCGTGTGCGTGTGTGTGTGGGGGGTTGTGTTTGTGTGTGTTACCTGCTTGAGCGGCAGTGATGAGAGCCGTGTTTCCCTCGTTGTCCTGCCAGTTGACGTCAAGGTGCGGACACTGAGACAGCGCTATGACGACGTCCACGTAACCTTGGTAACACGCAACCAGCAGCCCTGTCTGAAACAAAAAGCGACAGGAGAGGAGTTTAAAGATGAGAGTAACAGTGAGAGGCTTTTGTTTAGAATCAGCAAAAAATGTCCAGGGAAAAAAAACTTGGCAAAGGAGTTGAAGCAATAAAAAAAGGCTGACATATAGGAAGTAGTATCAGTAAAAACCCAGAAGACCTCTGTGCACCTTTCCAATCTAATATCCTTAAATAAATGTTAAATCTGTTGACATTTTACTGAGGACTGAACCGTCTTGAACTCGGAGGAAAAATAGACTGTCTCCCTGTGTGATGTTTTTGTGTACTTTTGTGTGTCTGTGTGTACAAGCTAGAATAGGAACCCTTTTATGTGTGTGTGTGTGTGTGTGTGTGTGTGTGTGTGTGTGTGTGTGTGTGTGTGTGTGTGTGTGTGTGTGTGTGTGTGTGTGTGTGTGTGTGTGTGTGTGTGTGTGTGCGTAAATGTTAGTCTGCGGGTGTGAGTTTATGTGAGTTCGAGAGTCCTGTGGAAAACTCCTGTTAAAGTTGGGTACTTTCCGGAAGGTGCACTCTTCATCAGCCAACACAAACAAGTTTACCACCAGAGATGGGAAGAAGCTGTGAGTACGATTTTGGAACACAACGTTCTCAAGTATAACATAAACACAGTGTCGCTTTTTTACACATTCAAACATAGAATTCTTTTGGAAAGAGATGTCTTTTACTAACTCAGAGCACAGACATTTATGAAAAAGTCAATATTTTTTAATGATGGGATTTGTTTGATGAGAATAAATGGGACTAGGGAATGATTTAGATGTTGAGAACTCTAATTAGACGCATATTTTGTTTGCCACATGCAGTGCAGTATATCTTTCATCTTCTCTTTTCTTCATGAAAAAAGGCTAAAACTCTCATGTTCTACCTTATTCTGCCTTCAAATTGAACTCAGGAGATTGTTTTCAAGGGGAGAAGTAAAACTAAGATATTATTCATGTTTCATTTGTTAGCGTGGTTAAACAGTTTCTAGGCAACTTAGAAAAGAGTGGACACTATTTACTAAATGAAAACAGTAAATGATGTATGAGTGTATTTTTTACTGACTAGACTTGTAAAGCAGCAGCTATTGGAAAAGATTTAATTTGCAACAACGTCAATGAAACAACAATATGTTATTCTTAGCTTCCTTAATTGGCACACCCTAAATGGACTTTTAATTAGCGCCTTATTAAAGCCAGGTGTGCTGGAAAATTCAACAAGTCAAATCTACACCGTGTAAAAACACACAGACAGTGCTGGATTCTGCCTGCTGACACTAATCCAGGCATACTGTGTGCATTTTCATTCAGACAATGTATTTCCAGTAAACATATAAATCCCCAATTCACTTTCACAGCTTAAAGGCTTTTTCAATGCTAATGCTAAAAACAAAACCTGATGACCTATAGACAATGTGCTTGACAAAATGGACTTTAATACAACCAATGTATTAAACTAAGTGCATATTTAATATCATGCGCAATAATTCTTTAAAAATGTGACTTTAAATCCAGCAACATTTGCAGGAAAGAGTGAAGTATTTTACTATTTAGGTAAGTTGTTACAATTTGTAATGCATTTTATATTTCTAGAGCAATTCACTGAATCGTGAAGCGTCTGCCGTGACATGATGTCCTCATCAGGAGAGCCCTCATAAAATCTATTTGATGCTTTTCCCCTCTTGGCACAAGCAGCTCACTCTGTAACCCGTTCCATTATTATTTCTAACTCTGGTATAAATGTCATCAAAAGTTCTGTCTCGTTGAAATGAAAACAAATCATAATGACAGAGAGGGCCTGACGGTGTGGAGAAAAACGTCCAAACCTCCCCCATAGTTTCTTCTTATCAGGTTGCAGAATGTTTAAATGATCCTCAATTAAACAGGATTAAGACCATATCTACTTTATGAAGCATCAACAAGTAACCAATCTGCAAGAAAAAACATTATTCTCACAGCATGACGTTCTGCCCAACATACTGCCTTTCTTTGAGTTTCTGTGCATCAGACTGGACAACTACTTTTCAGGCAAGGTGAGAATGATGCAATGCAGTATTTACATTACATGTACAGTGATGTGTTTTGCCTGTTAGAAAAAACTGAAGTTAAACTTTTGGCTGAAACAAGCCAGGCTGTAAGCCAGCCGGAGATACTGTCAGGCAGGAGAGTTACAAATGGAAAAGGTGACATGAAGTCCTGAGGAATAACTAGTGGGCTTTCTGAAAGAAGTTCACTAACACTGGCACAGCTCCAGATTGCTCTTTCTGGTTAGACAAACGCATGTAGACCTTGTCTGTCACACACACACACACACACACACACACACACACACACACACACACACACACACACACACACACACACACACACACACACACACTCTTGGCAAACCTCCAGCCTCACTGTGTTGTATAAAAGCGCTTTGCCCTGCAGCTTGTCTGGAGCAATCTCAGTCGTCTGGCAATCTCTTATTTTCTCTGAGAACCTTTTTCACACAATCACGCAAAAGCCTTTAACTCCTAAGCTCTAATTTTCTAGTCAGCACATCCTTATTTGGAGTATTTGTAACAGCTATTGGGCTCTGATGCATCTTAACAGTGGCTGCTGGTGATGGAGGTGACTGAAGAATCTGATAGAAGAGCACCAGCTAAATGCACACAGCATACCATTTGAAAGACACATGAATCGATGAAAAAGCAATCATGTGCTACACAATATTAGCCACTCAGTGACTAACTCTAGGGCTAAAGGGATACAAATAACAACACTAGCAAGTAGCTCAATAACCCTGAACCAATCAAGAGGGGTACTTCCAGAGTGTGTGTGAGACTTTGACCATTATAGACATTTCAATCCTTACCCATAATTTTTGAGGGGATTATGTGTTTTGTATGTAGGCCAAATGAAGATGCACACTATGGTAATTGTAAAGCTTGTACTTGTTGCTGATGGACGCAGACCTATGCCCTCCCTGACCCTAATCTCCTCGGCTCCATGACACAGGACTGGACTTGCGCTCTTGAGCCAAAAGGCCTTGTGGTGTAAAGTGGTACTTCGTCTAATCTCTTGATGCAAACACTATCAATACTGAAACTTGCTCTTCAAAATTAATATTACTTTTATCAATGTGCGTAGCAATATTTATTGTGAGTTCCTATGGGCTTTGATTATGGATGCAAGGCCCCACCATAACCATCATACGTTAGCAATAAGCTATCTTTCCCTCTAAGACGTTCAGCCTTTAGTAGGATCCATCCTGCTGTTAAGATTTAAAAACTAAATGTATTTTTGGTAATGCAGATTTCAACCAATTGATGTAATAACAAACCAAGGTGATCAGTAGAGGTTTCTGAGCAAAACTGACCCACACACACAATCTGGTCCACTTATTATTAGCCCATATACACAGACAAACAGACCAAGACAAACACACACTCACAAAGTAATCTGGTGAATATTCAGAGCTAGGAATAGAAAGGCTTAGCCGTATCAGTCGGCAACACAGAGAGGGGGAGGGAGACGGCAGAACTGTGCATCTGAAGTTGATGAGAGGACGTGGTAATAATTGGCTCCAACAAAGATGACCCGACACCTTGTATTATCCTTAAAGTTCCTTATAGACATACAATCGATCACAGCCAATGTTCAACTATGTTATTAATTGCATTTTAAACAAATAGTGTAACGCAAACTGAAGTACATGTCTGAACTAGTAGCATAGCATTTGAATTGAAGTTATCCCTGCCAATTAATCAAATGAATGGACCTCATCAAATATTAGTTATCCTTATTTGTCCAGTAACTGCTTTATAATGCTTATTATTCTGCTCGTGCTATAAATTGTGGCAAATCTCTTCTACTGAAAACTATTATATCATTATCATATACACAAAAACAACAAAAAAACCCGACCTTTGTTTTCTTACTTTAAAATAAGAACTGGTCGAGGCTAAATCCTGCAGCGGCAGACCTGCATCTCTGCCGCCTGCATAAACAAGTATCAAACCTTCGTTTGGCATTTGACAGTACGTTCTTTGTGCTCAAGGACATGCACACACAGGCAAACACACTCTGAACCGCCCTCATCACATACAGCAGAGGCACTGACGCAGACCTACTGGGCCATGTTTCTGTCAATAGCCTCCCTGTTAACTGTGCGTTTCTTTCTGCAGCTGAGTGTTCACATGGCTGTATCAAATCAGCTGTGTATGACTGTTGCTTTGATTTTTCCACTCATCTGTATTTGCCAACAGCCAGCATCATGCTTGCTATCTGCAGTTCCACATGTCTGTCTCTCCCCACGTGTGCTTCATTTAGTCTGCTTGCCTGATGGTCGCACTGTACTGTATCTCTCCGTTAATGATACTTAGTGAGTGTTAGTGCATGCTTGTGTGCGTGCGTGAGAGAGAGAGAGAGAGAGAGAGAGAGAGAAAGAGAGAGAGAAAGAGAGAGAGAGAAAGAGAAAGAAGTCAGGCAGGGTGGCCTCATCACACACATGCAGAATTCAATCAACTTAAATGAGGCCACCCTGCCTGACTTCTTTCTCTTTCTCTCTCTCTCTTTCTCTCTCTCTTTCTCTCTCTCTCTCTCTCTCTCTCTCTCTCACGCACGCACACANCTCGGTAAAATAAGTATTTGGTCACCTACAAACAAACAAGATTTCTGGCTCTCACAGACCTGTAACTTCTTCTTTAAGAGCCTCCTCTGTCCTCCACTTGTTAACTGTATTAATGGTAAGGATGTCCCGATCACCTTTTTTTGCACCCGATCCGATTCCGATCATTTGATTTTGACAATTTGCCGATACCGAT